TGTTCCCAAGAATCTTCTTTCTCATAGGACAAGGAGCAGCCTGGGACAAGGATCAGGCTGTGTTACCTCTGGGTCTCCCAACCCCAGTGACTCCGTTGCTAAGAGAGTCAAAGGACCCCTGGTGTCCCTCTGTGTGACACAGTAGCGATATCCCATTGGCATGACGTCATGCCAACCCTCCCCTCTGTCAGCAGGGATCAGAGAGGGGAGGTAGGGATGGTGGAGGGGTGGCTGGACCCTGGAGTGGGCACACTGCCGAGGGCAGGGCTTCCGAGGGGGGGCTCAGGAAAGTCCTCCTGTAAGGAAGTGGTTGGCTTGATGTGACCCTGACCCCAAGCTGTTGGCTCAGGTGACAGGGCTGAGTGTGACCAGTGGACGAGACCAGCTGGTGGTGGTGCACGCCCAAGGCTATGATGATCTTGTAGTGTGTCTACACCGTTCCCAGCCACCGCTGGACAATCGCATTGGGGAGCTGGTGGGCATGCTAGCTGCACACTGCCAAGGGTGAGTCCCGGGTCATTTTGGGAAGTGGGCATACAGAGCTCCGCCACCCTGACCCTCTGCTCTTCCTGCTACAGGGAGGGACGAACCCTGGAGGTCCGGGTCTCTGACTGCATCCCACTCAGCCAGCGTGGTACCCGGCGCCTCATCTCTGTGGAGCCCAGGCCAGAGCAGCCTGAGCCAGATTTCCGATGCAGCCGCAGCGCCTTCACCCTCCTCTGGCCAAGCCACTGAGCAAGCCAAAGCCAGTCCAGCTTGGCTTCCACACAGTTCTAAAAACACCCGGCCTTGCCTTGGCCACACGAGAGGCCAGGACGTGTCCACCCCTGCCTGGAACATCACACAATAAAGATGCTGTATTTGTGCCTAGTGTGGCTGCCACTGCCTTGGCCAATGTTTACCCGGTATTCGCTGCTCATCCACAGTGGTCCCACATAAACTAAAGCAGGAGGCCCGAGGACCCAGTCTGAAGTGGGTGACAAGACCCCAGATGTCAGAGCCCCAAGCCAGAGACAGGCTACATTTAGAGCCCATGGTTTGAGGGAAGTGCTCTCCATAAACATGCTTTCCTGGACACCCAAGGCAGCTCCCATGGTCTCCAGGCTTTATTCCTCTGCAGCCCTTGTCTCTCTCCTTCCTTACCCATTGGGATTATGGCCCTTGGTGCTCCAGGACAGGACAGAGCAGCCCTGAGGTCTTACAGGGTGAGCTGCTGGACAACCATGACCCAGCTGCTAACTGTCCAGGTTGGGTGTTGGGCAATAGTATAACATCTGAAGTGACAGGATCTCTTCCGGGCGAGCTATTGGAGAACGGAGCTTAGCAGCCAGGATCCCCTTCACTGGAAAGTAATGCTGCATCTGGATTTATGGGTCAGCCATTAACGGAGGGCAGGGTAGACACATTTCCATGTCTCCAGTCAGCTAAGCACATCTCCAGCCTTGTTCCTGCTCCTGCTAGGCCTTCAGTGCCCCTCAGACCCTTCAACCCCCTTCAGCTCTCCTCAGCCCCTCAGCCCTTCAGCCTCCTACAGACCCCCCAGTCCTTTGGTATCCTACAGTCTTTCAGAGCTCTTCTATTTTGTTTGTTTTTTGGCAAGGTAGTCCATATCAGTGTGGAACTTTATAGCCCGGACCAGCCTCAGATTCATGACAGTGTGGGCATTATAGGCAAGCACCACCTCACCATCAGTATCTCATCCCTTTAGGTCCTTAGTCCCACAGATCCTCAGACTCTTGGACTCCATAGCTCCATAGACTCCCAGTTATTGGTGAAATTATTAAGGCCACTCCACGTAGTTAAAAGGGAGGTTTATTTTGTGGGGTAACTTACAAGTGAATGGATAGTTTACAGAGTCTGGGAAAGGTGTAGCGCAGTCCGGCGGTGTTCTCTGGAGAACTCTGCTCAGTTTACCTCCAGCGTCCAGGGTCTGGGAACCAAGAGGGCCTGCACATCCGGATCTCGGGTCTTCAGGCTCCTCCCTTGGCCCCGCCTTGTAGGTGTGACAGTTACCAAAGCCTCAGTGGGGGTTGGAACTTCTAGATCAAAGCTGGAATGGCTACCCACTACACCCAGTCTCTCAGACCCATGGCCCCCAGATCTACAGACCCACAGACCTTGAGACCCTTATACACTTAGCCCCTTAGCCCTATATTCTGAGACCATCCAACCCTCAACTCTGCAAACCTCATACCCACAGCCCCTCAGGTCCACAGACCTACAGATCCTCGGCCCCTGTGCTGGCTAGTTTTTGTCAACATTACGCAAACCAGAGTAATAATACAAGAAGAGGGAAACTCGACGGAGGAATTACCTCCATCAGCCTGGCCTTTGGGCATGTCTGTGGGGCACTTCTTAACTAACGATTGAGGTGAGTGGGCCTGGCCCACTGGGGGCGGTACCGGCCCCTGAGCAGGTGGTCCTGGGTTGTGTGAAAAGGCAAACTGAACAAGTTCCGGAAAGCAGGCCAATAGCAGCCCTTCTCTGTGGTGCCTGCTTCGGTTCCTGCCTCCAGGTCCCTGCCTCTACTCTCCTGCCTGGGCTTTCCTTACAGTATAGGGTGTAAGGCAAACAAAGCATTTCCTCCCCTAAGTTGCTTTGGGTCATGGTATTTATCACAACAATGGAAAGCTAACGAAGGCAGTTCCACCAGCCCCCCAAGTCTTCAACCTCTCAGTCCCTCCCTCAGACCCTGCAAGCCTCTTAGCAGCTCAGTCGGCATCCTCTTCTCAAAGTATGAGCCCAAGGGTCTCTTAGCTCAGGCCATCCATACCTCAAGCCCCCTCTCTGTTTTATATTTTTTTGTTTGTTTGTGGAGACAGGGTCTCACTGTGTAGTTCTGGCTGGCCCAGAACTCACAATCCCTTTCATTTTATTTACTGCTGTGTGTATATGTGTAGGGGCAAGGCCCATATGCACTCTTGCCATAGCATGTGTATGGACATCAGAGGATTTAGAAGTCTGTTTCCTTGGGCGGTGGTGGCGCACGCCTTTAATCCCAGCACTCGGGAGGCAGAGGCAGGTGGATCTCTGTGAGTTCGAGGCCAGCCTGGTCTACAGAGTGAGTTCCAGGAAAGGCACCAAAGCTACACAGAGAAACTCTGTCTCAAAAAAAAAAAAAAAGAAAAAGAAACAAAAAAAAAAGAAAAAAGTTGAAACTTCAAGAAGTCTGTTTCCTAACTTCCACTCTAGGATCCAGGCGAACTCAGGAGGTCAAGCTTGCATGGATGTTCACCAGGCTGGCCTGAACTCACAGAGATCCGCCTGCCACTGACCCCCAAGTGCTGAGATTAAAGGTGTGCACCACCACGCCTCGCTCCTTCTTGTGTCGGGGTCTTGTTAAACCGCTCAGGCTGGCCTCGAGTTTACAGTGGTCCTGTTTCAGCCTCCCAGGTAGCTGGGGTTATATGCATCATCACATTTTCTTCTTTTCTGGGGCCATAAATCAGGAAGAAGGAGTTTGTCCTTTGATGTCATTTTATTGTGGAGGCCAGCGTCTATGACCATGACCTTTGGCTAAGGCATGAAGTCTCAGAACCGTCCAGTCTAGTCTCTCAATTCTCCAAGGCTTTCTCAGGCCATACGGCCAGGCGTCTGCAGGCGCTACTGGTCTGAGTGACCCCCCCCCCACAAGCCCCAAGAGTTCACCACATACCCAACCTCTAGGTCTGTGGCAGCCTCTAGACAAGCCTGCTTGTCCCTTACAAATCAATTAGACAGAAAGGGTACCTTTTAAGAAATATTTTTTTGAGATAGGATCTCACAATGTAGCTGTGACTGGCCTGGAACTTGCTATGTAGACCAGGTTGGTCTCAAACTCACAGAGATCTGCAGGCCTCTTCTGCTTACCAACTGCTGAAGTTAAAGGTGTGCGCCAACACTCTCAGCAAAAGATTTGATCTTTAAAATTATGTGCATGTGTATATTGGTGTGCGCCTATGAATAAAGGCCATTTCATTTTGCCCAAATGAATAGGTTTCTTTCCTCTCTTTAAAAATTTTCTGTGTGAAACTGGCGGTGGTGGTGTGCACGCCTTTAATCCCAGCACTCAGGAGAAGGAGCCAGGCAGATCTCTGTGAGTTCAAGGCCAGCCTGGGCTACAGAGTGAGATCCAGGACAGGCACCAAAACTACACAGAGAAACCCTGTCTCGAAAAACAAAATAATAATAATATTTTTTTTCTGTGTGTGTTTATACCATGTGTATGCCTGGTGTCTGTGGAGGCCAGAAAAGGGTGTCCGTACCCTAGAGCTGGGATTTTAGGTTCTCGTGAACTGCCTGACGTGGGTGCTGGGACCCAAACTCTGGGCCTCTGCACCTGCTTCACCTCTTAACTGCTGAGTCCTCTCTCCAGCCCCAAGACTTTCTTTTGAGACAGTCTCATGTTGTGCAAGCTGGCCTTGAACTCCCTACATAGCTGAGGATGACCATGAACTGCTGATCCTCCTGTCCGTACCTCCAGAGTGTTAGGACTCCAGAGTGTAGGACCTGGTTCGTACGGTGTGTTGTACAGGGTCGCAAACCCAGGGCTTCATGCAGGCTAGCCCAGCATTCTACCAAGTGTGCTGCATCCCTGTCCCCAAAGGGTACCTTTCAGTGGCCAGGTCCCAAACAGTCCTAGTCATTGTCTCCTGTTCTTTGTGAATTACCTCATCAGAGAATGGGTCGTACCTGCTCACTTTGATCCAAATCTCCAGCTTTTATACTCTGGGAGATTCTAGAGCAGCCGTTCTCAATCTGTGAGTGCCCACACCTTTAGGTCGCATATCAGATATCTTGCATATCAGCTATTTACATTACCATTCATAACAGTAGCAAAGTTATTATTATTATTATTATTATTATTATTATTTTGCCTTTTACTTCCTTTATTACGTGATTTCCTGTCTTAACTTTTAAATTCTTTTAATTATCCCTCTGGTAAATAAAAAGGCTTTTTTTTTTTTCTTTCTTTTTTTCCCACAATAAACTTTATTATAAAAACAGGCTGGTGTGGGGACAGAGGAAAAGACAAAGACAAATAGGTCTGGGTTAGGTGGCTCACATGAAGTAGTGCGGCTTCTTCACGTGGATACCATGTTCTCTGAGGACAGGGGTCAAGTCCTCCACGGTAAGGGTGTACTTGCGGTCCTTCCTCTTGCTCGGGGAGCTGCCAGAGGCGGTGGACTTCATTTTGTAGTGCTGTAGAGCATCGTTGGCAATATCTGAGATGAACTTCTGGGCAGCGAGTGAGATGAGCCGGATTATGCGTGGGTCTGAAGCTTCAAAGCCAGCACGGTTCAGGTAATAACCAGTCACTGCATCCGGGATCGTCGGAGTGTAATCCTCCAGCTGCATCAGAAAGTCCACCAGAGGCGTGCTGGAGACGACTGGCTTCACTTCTCGGTAGTCCTTGCTCGGCAGGGCATAAACCCCCTTAGACATTGCCGCTTCAGGGTGAGCCCTGCCGCCCGCTGCCACCGAGGCCTGCCCACGCCGCCTCTCCGCAGGCTCCCTGGCTCCCGCCGCCATGGGGCCGGTGGCGGCGGCTCCAGCCCCGGGTCCCCCTGCAGTCCCCGCAGGGCTGGCTTTGCTCTCCGAGGCAGTGTTGGTGGGCAGCACGGCAGAAGCCAATACCAGGGGCGCCCGACCCGCGACCGAGGCGGCACAAGCTGCTGCCGCCTTGGGGTCCTCGCCGGAGCGGCTGCAGCTCTTGGTGCTGGTGGGAGAGGCGGTGAACCAGGCTTTTGACATTTTTGACAAGCCTTCCCAAGATCAGATCCTCTGTCTAAAATCCCTTTGAGGCAGGGCGGTGGGGCAGCACTCCTTTAATCCCAGCAGAGGCAGGAGGATCTCTTGAGTTTGAGGCCAGCCTGTTAAGACTGGCTAGCCTGGATGAGATGGGGCGTCCTGACGGCGGTGAATGACTTGTCTGATCTGGACACTGGTTACAGGTCTTCCAGTCCCAGCAGGGGTAAGACAGTGACTTCAGGTTCCAATGCTCACAGTGTCTTGCCTAGCCATTCTGACCTTTATATCCACGTCCCCCTGGCTTTCCCTTTGGAGCCCCACCTCTTAGACAACAAGCTGCCACCTGATTGGATGAGGAAGTTCTCATCCATTTAATCGGAGCCCCGCCTCTGAGACACAAGCTGCCACCTGATTGGATGAGGAAGTTCCCACCCATTTACTCGAACTACTTGGGATTTTGCATCAGTAATTTGAGTGAATCAGACCTTACTTTGGTAATGGATGAAATCTGAGATGATGGTCCACGTCCCAGGTTCATCCATAATACTCCTCCTCAGACTCTGAGCTCTGGGATTCATTGTCTTATTTACATTATTACTTTGGTAGATTTTTTTTTTCCAGTGAATGACTCACACTATACCTTAGGCCCATCTGGAACTCTTACTGTACTCTGAGCCCACCTGTGTGGGTCTTAGTAATCCTCCAGTCTCAGTAGACCATATGTAATAAGGTATGTCGAGATTGATTAGATTTCCATGCAGAATAGAGAATGAATTGACACCACTTTGAAGACAACGTCCCAAATGCAGAGTCATTGTACAAACACAAAGGCTTGCTTCTCTGTGGTGATATTGTGTTCCCCCAAATATTGTGCACCCTAATAAACTTATCTGGGGTCAGAGAACAGCCACTAGATAGACATAGAGGCCAGAAAATGGTGGCACACACACCTTTAATCCTAGCATTCCTAAGGCAGAGATCCACTCGGATCTCTATGAGTTCAAGGCCACACTGGAAACAGCCAGGCATGGTGACTCACGCCTTTAATCCCTGGAAGTGATGGCAAAAAGCAGAAAGGTATACAAGGTGTGAGGACCAGGAACTAGAAGCTTTTAGCCTGGTGAAGCTTTTAGGCTTTTGAGCAGCACTCAGCTGAGATTCATTCGGATGAGGACACAGAGGCTTCCAGTCTGAGGAAACAGGATTAGCTGAGGAATTGGCAAGATTCCTGCTACACTTCTCCCTCCCTCCCTCCCTCCCTCCCTCCCTCCCTCCCTTCCTAACTAGAGTAGGATACACCCAGGACCTGAATCGACAACAACAAAAAACCTCAGAGGATCAGCCAAGGTGAGGTCTGTGGATGGCCCCAAACAGCTTGACCACACAGCCACCATGACAGGCTTAGAGGCCCAGACACAGGTGCTGGCAGGCAACACCTGGACCCAGGAAAAGCCATAAGCTGACCTCACCCAATGGTGCTGCATCTAAGAGAAAATACCTGAGGCCCAGACACAACTTCTGGCAGGCAACCTCTGAACCCAGAAAAGCCATAAGCTGACCCCACCCAGTGGGGGGCCTGCATCTAAGAGGAAATGCCTGACATTCCAAACATTCCCTATACCTAGACAAATGTCAGCCAATCGGGGTCCTGAACCCTGGAAATCCCCTCACCCCACATTGCCTTGGCTCTGGGTTCTCTGCTTTCTTTGCAGAATTGGACAGAGACTCTAAGCTGCAAGCTTGAAATAATAAAGGCTCTTTGGTTTTACATAAGGGATTCTCCATGGTGGTCTTTTGGGGGTCCCTGCAATCTGGGCATAACAAGGTCCAGTGTCCTGAAGCTGGGGTGGGGGAGACAGGGAGCACTGCTTGACCTCCTGTGGATCTCATAGCTCTATGAAACTGGTCTACATCTTCAGACAGTGACCACAGGGAGATGCCACTCAATATTCCCTCAGGCAGTCAAGCAGCCCGAGGTGGGTCATAGATATTTCTTCTTGATTTCTCAGATGAACATATTTAAGATCTGGTATTGAGCCATCTTGAGTTGTATACCAGACAGACCAAAGCAGGAGGACTGCAAGATCATGGACTAGCCTTGTGTGTTATGCCCAGGGCTCTAGTTCTAATTTTGCCCTTATCCCATTCAAGATTCTCAGAAAAATTGAATAGACAAACAGTACTCTGAATCTTAATTTACTTAAACTAAATCACCTCAGCCAGCAAGATGGCTCCTGTTCAAGGTGCCTGCTGCCCTGCAGAAAGACCTGAGTTAAACTTTTAGAACCAATACAGTTGGTGGAAAGAGAGAGTTGGCTCACACAAGTTGTCTCCTTGCCTACACATACAAAATAAATAAGTAGTAAACCAAGTTGACTGTCTTTTTTTTTTTTTTTAACATGGCAGAATATCTGATTTATTTTTAACCAACCTCGTGCAGTCAGTCATTGTGGAAACATTCTGAGTGTTTCTTGGTTAGTGCTATCCACAGCATCCTCAGTCATTTCCAGATCCACAGCACTCCCCGCTCCTGAGTCAAGTCACCAGGGTCCCACATGACCCCTCCCACAGTCATGACAACAGTTTTCCACAGCACAAGCTTCCCGAAATAAACAACTTGTAAGTTTGATATTGTTCGCCATTCTGAGTAATATGTTGAAATCTTGTACTTTCTTGCTGCTACCCACAAGGACAAAAGTCGGGCAAAAGTCTTCCACCAGTATCTTAATGGCCTCTAGAGCCACTCCTGTATGAACACCAAAAATGGTCAATTCTAGTAGCTCAGGCCTTTAATCCCATCACATGTGGGACAGAAACAGCTGGATCTCAGTGAGCTTGAGGCCATCCTGGTCTTCTTAGTTATTTCAGCCCAGCTGGGGGGTGAAGCAAATATCTAAGTGGATTCCTCTTGAAGACCTGTGACTTTTGATGATGGACTCAGTGTCTCCCTTGCCCTTCCTGGCTCTAATATGATCAGCTTCAAGGCTTTGGTACACTCCTCAGGAACAGATTTCAACCAGCATAACAACCTACCAACAAATATGAGACAATCTGTGAGCTAGAGCCTGAATCAAACATTTCTTTACTTCTTTGGGGCTGAGGAGCCAACCCAGGACTTTGAATATACTGAGTCTGTTCATCACCGCTCAGCTGTATCCAAAGCCACTTTTCTCAAGCCACCTTGTACCATGCCAGCTGATATCAAATGGGCAATGTATATCAGTAAGCCTTCCCCTGGACTCAGGCCACATCATTCAGTAGACACGTCCCTAAGATGCTCAAACAAGACTCCATCTGACATAGGTTTTGTTTTGTTTGTTTTTTTAGACAGGCTCTCACTATATGGACCAAGCTGTTCTAGAACTCACAGAGATCTACTTGGCCCTGCCTTCCAGGGATTAAAGGCCTGCCCCACCACACCAGGTCTAAGAATTGGTTTTGTTTTGCACTAAAGTATTCAAACTTATGCTTTTATTTCTGTTCAACTGAACATCCCATAGGCCACTATTAAGTTACAGTCACTCAGTAACCTGAGCAACACGAAGTATGGTCTCCATATGTCTTAAGATGAATGAGCTGACTCTGGTAGCACAGGGTGGCAGGATGTGCTTGAAGATCTGGAGGCAGGAGTTGGGGTTGGTGAGAGACAGATCAATGGGGGAAGGTCTTGCCATCAAGCCTGAATTCAATCCCTAGGACCCACAAGCTGAAAGGAGGAACCAGCCCCTGCAAGTGCCATGTGCACGTTATGGCAGACACAGAGTCCCCACCCCCCAAAAAATGAATCCAGTAATCTTTTTTCAGAAGATAAATGAGAGGAATCTAGAATCAAAAGCAGCTCTCACATACATTTGGAGAACAATTCAGGAAGCTGGGTTGAGAAAAGGCTTGGATCCTTGACAGGACACTTGGCACTAGGAGGGAGCTAGGAAGCAGAGGGTGGCCTCTGATGAACCTTGGTTTCACTTCAGGCCATTTAACTTTGTGCATGGAGGACCTTAAGACTGAAGTGGAACCTTGGGCAATGTTCTGCCTTCCTCTGTCACACTCTTTGTATTATCGTTGGGAATAAGATAATAACAAATTCAACATAGCAGTGACTCTGTTTTCCACATATAGATGCTGTGGCCCACACATGACCACACTCATACAGATAGGCACACAGATATAAACCAATATAACCAAAAAATAAATAAAGAGGACAAGGCATGGTGACTCATACTTTCTCTTTTTTCTTTTTCTTTATTTTTTTCTATTATCAGTTTGATGCAGTACAAATTCTTATCCTAATAGTGAAATGTTTCACTGAAGCCTGCCTAGTGATTGAGTAAACCAAAACTTATAAGCTACAGTCATCATAGGGTCCCCCCTGCTATGTAGCCTCCCTGGTTTTGTGGGTTGCAGTCTGATTGTTCTTTGCTTTATATCTAGTATCTACTTATGAGTGAGTACACACCATGTTTGTCCTTCTGGGTCTGGGTTACCTCACTCAGGATGATATTTTCTAGTTCCATCCATTTGCCTGCAAATTTCATGCTGTCATTGTTTTTCTCTGCTGAG